TTTCAAAACAAAGTAAGCTCATTTTGAAGAGTTTTTCTTTAGTTACCATTCTGAAAAACAGTAAAATTGGTTGAAGCTGGTCTTATATATTTGTCTGAGGTAAAGTCTCCAGTCATAAATCTCTTGTAGTGGTTCCATTTGGTTTCAAAATACTTTCAAATATTTACAAAAGATTTTTAAAACTTTATGAAAAATACAAATTATAAAAGACTATGCATGGAATATAAATATAGATTGCATCAAAATAAACTCATACTTCAATTCCATTTTTTTCCAGAAACTTCTTTTTTTCTTTTTTAATTTTTTTTTTTTTTGGAGGGGTTTTTGCTATAGGGTGCATGCGCTCACCAGACAGACAGAGACATAGAGACAGAAAGCGAGAAATCACCCCCTGGGGGGATGGTCACGCCGCAATCCTTTCTCCTCCATTCTACTCTTGGGCACGCACGCACACGCACCCGGCTTGAGTTTTAAGCCATTGGGTCCAGGACGCGAACCGCGGTCGACTACGTGGGAGTCCAGTGACATAGCCATTACGCTAACTGCTGGTTCCCATCCAGAAACTTCTTAAGTCCTCTCATAGTTTGCTTAAAATTTCCAATTGAGAATTCTGAAGATGAATCAATTATTTAAAGAATCATTTTATTTAATTTTACTTATTATCATTATTTTCTAATTTAACCAGAGAGAAAAGGTGAGAAAGCAAGCCACCAGGTCAAGGACTCAAACCACGGTTGGCCATGTGGGAGTCCAATGCCTTAACCACCATACCACCTGCTGGCCCTGATGAATCAATTTTTATAAATAAAATCTCCTTAGAATATTTTCTGAAATTCTAAAAAGAAAATTGCGTTAACATATTTCAAGAGTACTTACTACAGCAAATGGTAAAAATATTTTAACTCATGGAAAATAGATTAAAATGTGAAAAAATGCTAAGTGTACAATGAAAAGTCAAATCTCTATAACTTATTAAATGCCCAATTTTAGTTATTACATTTTTACTATAAATACCATAAAATAGGTATTAGTTTTCATTTTAGAAAAAAATAAATCATTATCATTAAACTAGTATTTATCTGTAACATTCTTGTTTAAGTCTGGTACTGTTTTTCACCCTTTTCTTACCATTTTTCTAGAATAATTCTAAGAATGTTGCTATTTGGGTCCAATATCTACTCTAAAGGCATTAAAATGAATGATTTCTTAGGCATAATAATAATGTAGATGTATATGAATTTGAGTTGTGTTCATTTAGCAGTTATTAATTACAGCTCCTGTAATCTGAGTAATACTGAATGATTCTTAGATTCCAACTATCTGTTGTCTTTTACTCAAAACATAATTTCAGGATTTCTGAATAAATAGACACATGGAAAGGGAATCCCTGTAGCAGAAATTAAGAAATAAAGTACAGGAAGGATTAACTTCCAGCCTCCTGTGCTTTTATCTCTAACATGCCTCAAAACTAAAGAGAGACTGTCTAACCATTCAAAAAGATTAAAGGTGTTAATTAGACTAACAGATAGGAACCTATCACCCTTATGTCAGGGAGACCAGACTAAATCTTCTAATAGATTAACGCACGCACACACACACACAGACACACACACACACACAGTTTTGTTTCTACTAAAACTCCATTGATGATTGTCTCATATGTATATTTGTGAGCAAGTAATTTTTGTTGAAATTGATTTAAAACTTTGTAAAATAGTTTTACAGGTTCATTGTGATCACAACTGAGATCAAAATTATTTTTTAACATTCAATACTGAAATATAACTATAGGGGGTCTAGATGAGTAATCAAACTTTATAACAATGACATCCCGAATTGCCAATCTTCACATCTCCTCCTATTGAGTCGATTATGAAGTTAATATTAGATTATGTAGTGATTCTTTTATTTTCTTTCAGGAGAAGCAGATTATATGTTAGTCACAGATATAAACTATGTGACATCTCAAGATGAATTTGAAGTATTTTAATGGCAGTTGTCAAATGAAGAGAAAATTATTGTCCAAGATAATAATTACCTCTAAGTAAGCCATTCTTTTTCTTGTTATATTTTACCATTTTAAAATTTAAAATAAGGAAACACACACACAAATTGTATCTAGCATATATGTCTACAATATGTATATATGTTTATAAATATATACATACATATATACATGCATGTATATGTATATGAGAGAACTTCAAAAAGTTTGTGGAAAATATAATTAAAACTTATTTTGATGCAAAAATTTTTAAATCCATCCATAGGGTTTTTTTTTTTTTCATCATCTGCATTTCCCACACACTTTTTGAAGACCCTTAATAGGTACATGAGTTCTATAAACAAAACTCCAAAACATTGAGAAAAAAGTGGAAAAAGACCAAATAAATGAAGAAATGTGCTAAAGTCATGGATTTAAGACTGAATTATTGTTATTATTATTATTATTATCGATCTATAATAAGAGAAGTACAGTGTGATTTTTGAGTACAAAAATACAATGTGTAATGATTAAATCAGAGCAATTAGCACATCCACCATCTCAACCATTTGCTGTTATTGTGTGTTAGGAACATTCAAAGTCCTCTTCTTTTACTCAAAGATATACAAAAGGCCTTCTTAAAAGGGTTTAAAGAAAAGCATTTTATGAAAAAATGCATGAACTGAAATTTTTTGCACTCAAGCTAATCATTTTTCTTTTCCATGAACTTTTTAATGTCATCCTTTATGAATACATATGTGTGTATAAGTTTGTATATACATCCATATGTATACATGCACACATACACACATATATGTACTCATATTTATTTCAGTTTCTATTACACGAAGATGTTCTCTATGCATTCCTATGTCAAATGATTTTTATTTCATCATATTTTAAAGATGGTATGAAAGAAGATAAAACTAGAAATAAAGATAAAGGTATCAGACTCATATAAAATAGCAGCATTTAAACCTTTTTTTAGGATAACTTGCTGCAAGAAATGTTAAAAACATTATTTTAAAAGACCACTTTGAGCACACTTGAAGAGCCAACAAAGGATCCAAGTAGCAATTTTATGTGAAAGTGCTGCTCTGCCACTGCTCTGCACTCTGCCCACTGTAGTCTGTCTGTCACGCTGCCTCCATGCTGCCATTGTTGTACATCCCACTGCCTAAAGCCAGAGTTACAATTGCAACTTGCAATTCCCAGAGTCACACTAGTACTGGACCCTTCTCCCAAGGAGTAGGACTCTGTTGCAGCCTCTCATTGCTAAATCTTTGCCACTGCTGTGTCTTATCTCCTTGGGACCAAGTCAAACACTCCCACCTTTATGGATGATCTACAAACATACACCAGATGTACTAACAAGAGGGATACTCTTGACTAAAATATCCCCCCATAGAGATAAAGGAAGAGGGACTCTTAGCAACCTTCACCAATGGGGACCTCTATAGCCCTTGCCACTAACGTCACTAAAGACACCCACAGCTATGGCTGTCAAGGATCACTGTAGTCTTTGCTGATATTGACCTTGGTCAATGGAGTTGAATGGAGAATACACCACTGCACTCCACCTGGCGCCAAGATGCTGTACCCCCACCAGCATGTGCTCTCACAGCCACCCACAGGTGAAATCTTCTTATTGAATCCCATTCATAAAAGATGGAAGAGGTGACTGCTCTCCCAAGTGCACAGACATAAATACAAGGAAAGTAGAAACACAAGAAAGCAGGAAACTACCAAAGGAGCACAATAATATTCCATTAACTAACTTTGAAGAAATGGAGATCTGATACCTGATTTTTTAAAAAAAATCAGAAGTTGGGACCAGCAGATGGCATAATGGTTATGTCTCTATACTAACATGTAGTAGACTGTGGTTCAAGTTTCGGACCTGGAGGCTTAAATCTCACACTGGGTGTGTATACGTGCATAGCCAAGAACCAGAGAGGAAAATGGAGAAGTGACTGAGGCACGACCCTTCTCCCTAGGGGGTGATTTCTCCATCTCTCCTGTGAGCACACATACCCTATAGGAAAAATATCTCCTAAAAAAATATCCGAAATAATTATTTTTAAGAAGGCATAGTAATTTACCAAAAAAGGACACGCAGTTTAAAAAACTCAGGAAACAACACATCACAGAATGAGAAATTCAGCAAAGAAATAAAAGTCCTTAAAAAAAAAAGAATGAAACAGAAATTGTGGAATTGAAGAACACAATGAATGAATCAGAAAATACAACAAAGAGCTTTAATAGCATGCTTAAGCAGAAGGGAAAAAACAACAAAACTCTGACTCCTAAAGACAAATCTTTTGAAATGATCTATTCAGAGGTTAAAAAAAGAAGAAAGAATTTAAAAAATGTGAACAACATCTACATTACTATGGGATACATCAAAGAATCAATGTGTGTGTTATGGGTATACAAGAAAAAGAGAGTAAGAAGTTTATTTAAAGAAATAATTGCTACAGAATTTTTAAGACATGGAGTCAACCCAAATGTCCAAGAATAGATGAGTGGATTGAAAACAAAGTGGCACATATACACTATGGAATAATATTCAGCCGTGAAAACAATGAGACACTTGATACAAAGTGGATGAATATGGGAGATTTAATGCGAAGCAAAGCAAATCAGACTGTAAAAGACAAGGATTGTATGTCCCTGCTTAATATATACCAAATGTCAACACTTTGTAGCAGAAACTGAAAGACTGCAAGATATAATAGCAGACAGAGCAACTGTGGGTACTAGAGACACTACAGGAGTGGATGGGTCATAGGTGGTGGGAGGAAGGGGAACAGGGAGAAAAAAAAAAACATTTAACAGACACAAAAATGAAAAAAGCATGTGTTGATGATAATGTACATAGTAATATCCATAACTTGACTAATATACACCATATTCATGCTGGGAAAAAACATTTTGTATGCTATAACAATGTACAGTGATTAAAGATAAATAAAAATAAAATTTTAAAAAGTCAAGGGGAAAAAAGTTAAAGGTAGCACTCACTTTGACTGTCCATATACTAAAACAGAAATGATACAGAGAATATTAAGATTGACCCTGAACAAGGAAGACACATAAATTCATAAAGCATTCTATATTTTTCTTAGAAGACATAATGCTAAGGGAAATAAGTTGGACTATGAAAGACAAATACTGTATGTCCCTACTTAATAAGTAACTGGTGTCCTCATTCATTAGTGAAAGCTAAAGGACTTCATAGCATACACGGAGAGAATAATAGTAGATATTAGATGTTAGACTAACAGGAGGAATGTGGAGAAATCAGATGAAAAATACAAGAGTGCATGTAAAGAAGTGGAATGGGTTTTGGAACTGTGTATCACAGTAATGTACCTCAGTAAAAAAGGATATATATATATATATACACACACACACATACACACAGATATATACATATATATATATATACTTCATATATATATATATAAAGTGATTTTCCAATGGGTATGGTATAATGTGGTGTTGAATGTAGGGGTGGGTAAATGTGCTTATAGCCTTGATTTGATTATTACACACTATTTACATACTTTTGAAAAACTGTAGTGTACCTCAAAAAGATGTAAAATAATTATATGTAGGTCAGCTATTACCAAAAATAAGTAAGAAGGTTAAAAGATAAAAGCATTAAAAATATCATTACAAAATCTGATTAATGAATACACATTATAAAAAGCTGTAAATTGTGACATCAGTAAGATAAAATGAGGAGGAAATAAGTCAAAGTGTATAGAACTTGTACACTACAGCTTTATCCCATATCACATGCAAAAAAATAATTCAAGCTATAAAAATAAAGGTAATGGGGCCAGACAGTGGCACAGCAGTAACACGATTCCCTGCGACGCTGGACTCCCATGGGGAGGTCCTGGTTTGTGCTCCAGGCACTCCCTGGGCATTCCACGTGTGCAGGTGCACCCAGGCCTGTGATCTCAGCTGACTGAGGCTAGGTGCAGATCGTGGGGTGAGGACCCTGTTGAGACAGCTTATCTGTCTCTCTCTTCCTCTCTCTCATAGAAAAAATAAACAAAATTCTAAAAACATAGAGATAGTAAAAGCGATGTAAGTGATGTGTATTAGATGATTTAACTAATGAAAACCTAAGAATATATTATATAAATATCAATTCCATTAATTTTACTGAAAAGAGTTTTTAAAACATGTTCAATCACTTCCCTTATTTTAACTCAAATGGTTAAATAAATTTTTATCTGATTAATGTCCTTATAGGAGGGTCCAGAGAACTGCCTTTCCTCTTCATCATGTGAGGCCACAGCAAAATCGCACTGTTCTATGAATCAGAAGGGGGCCTTCACCAAACACCAAATGTGCTGTGCCTTGACTATGAACTTTCCACCCTCCACAACCATGGAAAAAATTCTATTGTTTAGAAGCCAGTTAGGTGAGATAGGTGGTGCAGCAGTAAAACATGATGCTCTGCAAGGCAGTCCACATGGTTCCCAGCTCAAGCTCAAAGACCCTTCTGAGAATGCATGCTCTGGAGCTAGACTGCTGCATCTAGACTCTGGGTGTCTTCATAATGGTAAGCCTCTTTCACAGTTTCAATTATCTATGTATACATATATTTATAGCCCAAGTCTTACAATAGAAAATTCACATAGCTCATGAAAAACTAGGTACCCCATGCAAATTTTCCTCATTCATCTCTAACTCAACTAACCACAATCTGAAGTCATCTTTTCTCCTAAAACCATTTCTTCTAGTATGTGATCCATTGGGGATTGTCCTACATTTATTAAATACATAAAACAGAAATGATGGAATCATTTTTTACTCTTTGTTCTCCTTCCAAAATCATTCAACTATTAACTCTGATTAATGTTGATTTAATATTCCACTCCTGCCCATTAGCTACCTTTATTCATGTCATCAATATCCTTCACCTGCAATTTTGAAATAGCATTTGGCTTTATAACTGGTTTTTTTTTTCATTATAACCAGAGTGAAGTTTCTAAACTTCAGAATAGTTCATGCTATTCCTCTACCTAAAACTATTATAATTTAATATTGCTTTGAGATAAAAATCCTTAGCTCTCTGAATTCCAAACCTAGTACATCTTCAAGTTAGATCATTTCCAATTTCACTCTTTTTTGTCCAAATATCTTTGCCTTGCTCATCCTATGTCTTACTCACTTTTTCTTAACTGCTATAAGGTTCATGACCTCACCAGAGAGAGAGAGGAGAGAGAGAGAGAGAGAGAATACATCCGTTATAGGGCATGGTCATGCCACAATCCTTATTATCCATTCCTTCTTGCCATCAGAATTTTGGGCACACATGCACATTCACCTGGTGTGTTTTCCAAGTTGCTGAGACCAAGATTCAAACTGCAGTTGGCCACGTGGAATCCAGATTTCTTAATCAATGTGCTAGAGTAAGCCTATCCTACTCATTCTTATATTCAAATTTAGACATCAACAGGGTAAATAATCTTCCATAGACTCCACACTAGATGAGAGATTAGATTTGCTCTCTTATTGGCCCAAGATAACATTTATCACATTAAGTTCTGGTTGCCCCGTCTGTAGACCACACTCTTTATGATAAAGATTATATACCTTACCTCAGTGCCTACCACACAGTAAGTATTGATTCATTCATTCATTGTCCAGTGATAGCTGGGATGGGGCAGTATATTTCTTTTAATGTGGATGACAGATAAGACTGTATTCATTCAAAGAGATGTCCTTCTCTGCAGAGTTCTTTTTATTGAATAATTGAATTTAAATGTTGGCACAACCTGTCAAATGACAGAAACTTGGCAATGATATAAACTGCCTCAATTGAGACATATTATTTAGTATGAACATCAACATTTAGAAAATTGAAATCTCTTTCAGAAATCTTTTAATTAGGTAGTCCTTTTTGTTTACATATGATATTGCACATCCTGTCACTAATAGAAATTAACTTGGAATCCATTTGGAATGCACACTGATAATTATTCTTACTTCTCAGAGAAATGCAGCAAAAGGTAGTAATGAAAAAGTTTCATTTTAAAATTGAAGTTGGTGTAACTCCAAAACCCTGAATATTCATTACAGGTTCATAAGCAGTATCATGTCTAAAGACCACAGTCAGGAGCAAGAGCCTTGTCAACTATTTTTTTATTTCCAAAGCACCACCAAAGCCTCCTTTGGCCATGGCAATCTATGACCTAACCAATCATCTAATCTTATTCTAATTCTAAAACATCTTAAGGGTTCATGGATGGACTGTGAATATTTTCTAAAGCCCATAATATTGAGTTCTAAATTTTGTGCATTTTGAAGTACTTGTCTGGAACAGGGTTCACACCATTTGTTGGACTTCTCAAATGGATCTACAATTCCAGAGAAATTAACAACCATCAATAGTCATTTTATAGGTAAAAGAAAAGGTATGATCAATTTAAATTTTTTCATATATAAAGATACAATCTTTAGGAAAGAAATTAATTTGCAATTAAATTATATTCTAGACATAATTGTGTTTGGGGAGTTTTTAGCAAGGGTCTAACACATTATTTTGGTTGGCATTTCAAACATCAGCTTGGCTACATCTCAGTAAATATTAAAAACTAATGAATTCTAAAGTAAAGATGACAGTAAGTATACACACTTTTCAGTTGGAGACAATTTCATTTTTGCTAATCCTGTTCCGAATGACTATCTCAGAACTCCAGTGCCAAACCATGAAAGAGTGCTGGATAGTCTCCTTCAGACTACCTCATGGTTTTCACTAACTTTTATGTGGATGTCTTTGATCTTGTCCCTGAACTCCAATGAGATATTTTTGCACTGCCCTTATGAGTGCTATGGTGTGACTTTGATATTGCATCTAAGAAAGAGAGAAATACTATGGAGAATGTGGTAGGCTCTGAGAAGAACCAAGACAGGGGGGAAACAAAAACAGATATAAAGACAAAAACAAACGGCACCATAGCCTAGGTCTGATCTTGAAGTTAATAAGCCTTGGTTAGATCTCAGAATGTTTCCTTTAAAAAAGACCCATTTTGTGCTATATCCTACTTAACTTGGCAAGGAGGTTCAAATCAGTGGCTGTTTGGGGATGATCTTCTGTAACACTGATTTTCTTTTTAGAATTATTGAATTTTATTTATTACTATTATTATTATTATTTAATTTGCTATAAGGCATACATGTTCACCAGAGAAAGACAAAGAGAGAGAGGGAGAAAGTGAAAAAGCAAGCTGACAACTCAAACTGTGGTCAGCCAGGTGAGAGTCCAACACCTCAACCACCATACCACCTGTTTGTGGGGACACGTTTAAGAGAGAGAATCTTAGGTGTGGGGACATGCTCTGAGCAAACACCACCTGCTCTTTTGGGGTTTGGCAGAACCTTGTAACTTGTCTTTCCCTTACCTTGGCTGCCGACAGAGCAAGGGTGGAAATTACTAGGAGTGTTCCAACAGACACATCTGATGGACTTCAAGAAACATCTTGACCCCAATTAGTAAAATCCAATCCCTGCTCTGCATCTGAAAAGTTCTTTAGCCTTCTCTGGGTGTGGTGGTGCACTCCTTATAGAGAAGTTCTTTAGCTCCTTCCCCACACCTAACAGCTAGTTCTCTGCATTAGAAAAAAAGATGAGATTTTCTCTTGATGGGATTATCACCAAGGGATACACCTGGCCAGGTATGACTAAACTCTCATAGATTTGTTAATTGCTTCTTAGTATTTGTAACCTGGCAACCAATCCAGTCTCCTTGTACTATAAATAAAGATGTCCAGTTCCTCTGGGCAGCACAAGTTGCTTGGGCTACCTAGGCTCAGGTTGCCTGTGTCCATTTCTACTCTATCCCTTTGTCTCATTCTTTCCAGTTCCCAGTCCTGGCAAGATGGAGGGCTTTCTCTTTCTCGTCTTCTTTCTCTTCCTCATCAACAGCCCCTTGATCATGATTCAGCCAGACCCAAGCCCTGGGGCGGACGCCGACACCTGTTGACCCCTGGTTCTCTTTATTTCTGTGGGAATAATTTGTGTTACTTTTGGGATGACTACAAAAGATATGTTACTTAACACATAAAAACGTTAGACCCAGTACATAACAGCAATTGAAG